TTTTGTACGTAGAATTTGATTCCCCTGACTTCTTTCAATAAATTAACTGCTATTCATGTGGCCTTTTTCTCGTGTATCGGTTACGTGGGATACTGTTGTGGTTTTACCAGTGTGATTCAGTGCTTACGTGGCGTCCATGATCTCGAAGTCGTGATTCGTATTTCGTGATCAGTGCGTACAGTACTACTCCGTATATTTCCGGTCTGTAATGTAGGCAAGTGAGTAGCTAGTAATTAGCCGGGTTATCCATCTGTACAAAACCGGTAAGTCCACCTTCTGGATGTAGAAAGCATTAAATAAACCATGATCTATTGTTTCGAGATAAGTAAAATACTGCTGAACTGCTTTTAACTTCATCTTCAGTCGTTTCCAGTTTCTATCTACATTGTCAATAAGCGGATTAGTCTGCTAATAATTAATTTCTGTTGTTCCCTTCTGCTAGTGATCAGAATGCTCGCTGTACCTAGTCTACTGTAATCGGAATCGAAAAAGTAAAAGTTTTATACCGTGCAAGATGCCACTGTAAAATGAAATGGTTTCTCGTACGTGTCCGACAGAAACGTGCGAGGCAATTCACACAAATACCAGAGAAGGCACCGAAATCTCAGTAAGGGGCCAGCAAACCCATTAAATTTTCCGAGTAAATGTTTGTTGTTACGTCGATCTACCGCTAGGGCACTACTGGTTGAGAATACTGTAATGTTGACGAAATTGAACAGCTCGATCGCCAAAGGTCATCAAAACAACTACAACCGGGGTCGAATATGTTCTTTACACAGCGCTGAGTGGAAAATTTAGATGTGGATCACTTACACTTTAATCCGGTGAAACTAGGTAAAAGCGTGGTCGCAATCCACACATCTTTTTCACCACCCATGATCCAGAATCAGCCGTGTATTTGGCAGAGGAAACTCGACCGTTTTGCTTTCTCTGCTCGGGAAAAACTAGTCGCAGTCGTCCGTTGTTGCAAGATATAACTGACAAACGGTGACAAATCACATTTGTTACATGAAAGTAGCGGCAGATTTGTTTTGACTATATGCTGCGAATTGCGTCGTGCACAGAGCAAATGAAGCGTGGACTTAAAAGCTAGGAAGCACTGTACAGCTGTTTCGACCTGGTTGGGTCTCATCAGCTGTACGAATCCATCGACCCAAACGGGGATCGAATCTGGGACCTTACAGGTAGAATGCAAACATGTTCTCCACTTGACTACTGGATAGCTGATCACACCGTCTTCAATTTTACCTATACACGATCCAGCAATTCTTAATTCAGACTGATAACTCGCGCATTTCAGCGACACTCTCCAGTAGGTTCGCGAGATGACAAACTGTGTCAACATTTGTGTTTGATGAGTCTATTTGTAGGTCTCTCAAGTCTTTTATAAGAAGACAAGGAAAGATAACTGCGAACCATAAATCAAGTTGGGAAGGATACACAATAAAACTACATTGTTAAACGTATATCGCATGTCCAGTTGTCACCTACCACTAGGAAATTTGAGTAGGGGCGAAAGTACTATGAACGAAGAATGAAGTACCCCGGAGAACACTGCAGAACACCAACACTTCTGTACATCGGAGTCAAGATATACAGTTGTACAATCTGTAGAATTCACGGGGATTCCAAGGGCTTCTAAGTTACCGCCAGCGATAAGCACAATCCACCCGGATCAACGAGAGACAGTAGACTGAACGGTACATTAAACGTTTTGTTTATTGGAGCAGCGAATGAAACAACATTGGATAGCGAAAGGGGCAGCGAGCAATGAATAAGGCAGTTGATCTTGGTTCACAACTGGTCGGGAAATAGTTATTATCAGGTAGCATTTCAGTGATTTAGAGGGTTGTGAACCAAGCGGGCAGTGGGCTATTTCAAGCCCCATTGAATTCTTTTGGGGATTCAGCATTAAATATATCATGCATTTCACTGTATACCGTGACCTTCTACATCACCAGATTGCAATGTTATTGAACACTGCTGGAACCATTCCGAAAGAAGAAATATCGAGAACCTCTAAGCCGAAAAATCTGAGGGAAATGAGGAGGCTTGGAGGCCTTTGGGAATAAATCTGCGAAGGTTATAAATTGAACTGTCAAAAATTCGTGCAGCTCAGATTCAGTGATGCAATCACCGACAACATTGGTTTCACTTAACACTAATACTGATAGCAAGTTTCCTTTCAACAAACATTTTCTATATTGACTGCACGTTGATGAATATTGACCTTTATCGTTATTATCGTTCCTTTATCATTTCGAAGTGTCTCAATTCAAACTTGGACATTAAATGAATGTTTTTTCTATAAATGTTTGCTCTCCTGGGTGCAGAAGGATAATAAACTGTTGTAAGAACAGCTTCATTTGACGCCGAGACATTTTAAATTGAAAAAGATATGAACAAATCAAGTCAAATAAGGCAGATTAGATAGATTTTTTCATGATTTTCCCGGTGCAGCGAGTTGTTCATTTTAGATTCCCAGAGTTCTTCGGATTTGACTTACAGGTTGTTATTTTATTGTGGTATGATTTGTAATTCGAAGGCCTTGTTGTTGGGATTGTTGCGTTTTCTTATCGAAGGTCCATACACACCCGAAACAACGCAACATCCAGAGACCGAGGTAAGGGACAAACTACTGCCGACTAGAAGGCACATTCTGCAAGAGTGATCCACGTGACATGTTTAAACTATCGATCGATAAACATGTGACCTGTTCAGTTGATAGCACAAACGGATTACTTCCCATGTGTGCTTATGGGTCATTTCAGAGAACCATATGAAGTGTTTTTCGACAAGTTATCATGAAATCTAGAGGCCATGTTTTGGAAAGGCCCAAATCCAAAGAATTTAAAGACCTGCCGAAGCTAGTCCCACCGGAACTTCCTTCAAGCATAGCAGAATTGCGAAACGCTTTACGTCAGTTAAATAACGCCTATGTATCTCACAAAAAACACAGATCAAATGAACGGGTTCATTCGTCACCTCGAAATGTCGAGGCATTTGTGAATCTCACACACGGTCCTCCGCATCGTAAAAATCAATTTCGGCAGGGTTGTGATAAACATGTGAAATTAGGAGACAAAGATCACAGAACAGCGCATTCATTGCGTCGGCATTGGTCTAAAGATACGGAATCCGTGAGAACTGCAAAATTAGTAGATTGCGAAAGTATGATGTCCGCAGGTTCAATGCGTAGCCGGTTGTCTTCATGGGTATTCAAATTGGTCCCAAACCGAATGCGAAGGAAAACAAATGATGTGGCCATAAGTTCGCAGTCAGAAGTGCAACAATTTATACAAAATAACTCCGATCAGAAAGCTATTTCAGCAGATTTAAAGTCACATCAGATAGATAAAGCAACTTTGGAGTCGAAAAATCCCTACAACTCATTTGGAAAATCAACTATTCCTGTGACAAAAGTCTATGGTAGCCAAACAGCATGGAACATGCAAGCCATTGAACCTGGTGAAAACGAAAACTTCGGTAAATCTAAAAGACCGAAGGATTTGAAAGGGGCCAAATTAAAAGAAGATATCCAGTTGAGTTTCGAATCAGGTGAGAACATGAAACCAAAACCAGATGAAATAGAAAAGTATAAGAAAAAACAAAAGAAACATCGTAAACACCAGAACGATACATCTATTCCCATGGAGCAAAACGTCTCTGATGCGGATAATCGAGATGTTCGACAAATTCCGATGATTGAACTGCATTCTTTTCGAACCCAACCAATCGATCAGGAAGCAATGTTACAAAATACTGAATTGAATAGCTCTCAAATGAAACACTTATCTGAATCGAATAACGAGAATCCGGATATACCAGCTGAATCAAACAGACATAAGAAGAAAGCATCCAAACGACCGAAACCCACGGATACAGAGGTAGACCTAGAGACTGGAGACCTGGATAACGAGCACCAAAGGAGCCGTTCGAAAAAACACCGGACTGATGCAACTCTGGAAAGTGAAGGGCAACAAGAAGAGGAGGAATATCGGGAAAAACGAAAACAGAAACACCGGAAATCTCTTGGAAAGCGTGACAATGGTGATCGCGATCGATCTGAATCCGATTTGGAAAATATACAACGAAGCAGAAAATCTCGGCGGTCACATCAGGCAAGGGATTACAATGACGAAGATATGACCATGGAGCACCAACGTAAGCTGCGAAACTCAGGTAAACATCGTGACGAAGCATACATGAAAGATGGACGGAAGGAAGAAGGTCGGCCTCGATATCATTCCAGTCGATCACACGATCGTTACGATCAAGATGAAACTGATGGTCGCCATTCGCACAGTCGACGTGAGAGAAAACACAGCAAAGAATTCAAGGATGAAAGCAGAAACCACGACCATTATCGACATGTTCATCATCGTCGACATCATCATCGTGATCGTCGTGACAGCCGTGATCACTCTCATCGTGAAACGAGACACAGGTACAGCCGGCATTCCCGTTGTGATTCTTTTGACTCCGATACACCGCGTGATCGCAGTCATCATCACTCTACTAGACATCAAGGACGCTCTTCGTATAAATCACGAATGAGCAAATCTGATAACTGCGATGACTCAGAAAATACACTTTGTCATTGCTGTCAACGTTCCGTAAACACTTGCCGAACAAGACGTTCATCCGAATCTCAGTGTTGTCGATGTTCTTATGAAAAAGCTAAATCTCAATGCAAACCAAATGAAGAGCTCATTAATGCTATAAATGAGGTATGTTCCGAAATAAGTAGTCGAATTGGGGGTCATCGTTTGCGTTCAAATAGTGATTTGAAAGCTATTCAGCAACTTCGCGCCCCCCGACTGGGCCGATTTTTGTCCCCCGAAACATTGAACCTATTAGATACGATGGACCCACTACCGTTTTGGGATCCAGGAGAAAGAAGGGTTTTTGATCATGGTCTACCACCTCGTGCCCCACGGAAGCGTACCTCGGACCCAGACAGCGATCACCATACATGTCACTGTTCATCCGTAGGACGATCCATTGCATCTCATCCTCTACACAGTCCCCCAGATTACCATTCTAGCGTTCCAACACCGTCTCAAAATCACCAACCATCACCGCAACCTGTCCAAGCAACATCATCCGCTCCTACTCCAGCATCACTAACAGCTACTCCTTTGTCAACGGTCACACAAAATTCAACAGTTCCAGCTGGTCTACCAAGTGCTCCACCTATCCAAACAGTTCAGCCAACCACGCACGTCATCACCCCCATTTATTATCCT